TGATTGACGATATGTTATCATGGAAAGATCATATTGACGCTCTCTGTAAAAGAACAAAGCAGAGAATCTACTTTCTTCGTCGTCTTAGGTCATTCGGAGTAAGAAAGCAGATTCTTCTGTTGTTCTTTATGTCTGTGATAATGAGTGTACTGCAATACTGCAACTCCATTTGGTATAGGAGTTTGTCTGTTATGCTAAAAACAAAGCTGTTCAATCAATTAAAAATTTGCTCAAGGATTGTAGGTCAGCCCCTTGAGAAGCTCTATGATTCAGCTTATTATAAAAATTTGTTAGGACTGGCTAACAAGATAGTTTCTGATCCTAATCATGTTTTGCATAATGAGTTTTAATTATTACCATCAAACAGGAGGTACAGAGTCCCAAGATTCAACAAAGTTAGGCTGAAACACTCTTTTGTGTATCAGGCGATCCTGGAGTTGAATAAGACACTTAATCAAAAATCAAGAGTAATGTGAACATGGGTAGTTGTAGGAGTGTAGTAGGAGGGTAAGGCATAATGTAATGTTTAAGGGAGTGTAATGTATATTGTGTTTTGTTTGTGTGTGGATGAAGTGTATGTTGTTGTTTAAAGGATGTTGATTGTTGTAAACACAGATACTGTCATGCAAGAAAAATTTCAGACTCGTCTGACAATAAAGTTTTATATATCATATCATTATATCATAAGACCTCTTTTGGTCAGTCTGCTTTCTCTGCAAAGGGGCCAAAACTCTGGAATGTTTTACCTATTAATTTAAGATTAGACAGATGACAATGCTTTTAATGGTGGACTTAAGCAATGGCTCAAAACAAAACAGCAGTGCTCACATGAATAGCCTACCACTAGGTTATTGTTTGATCATGTCGCCTTTGCTCAATAGCTTATGTAGATAATTCTGAATATGCTGTTTTTCTCTTTTGTAATTTCATGGTACATTTTAGTATTGTTATTATTACTTTTACTGTTAGCACTGTTATTATTAATTTTTGTGTATTATTATTTTTTGAATGCCTTCCATGGACAGGTGATGAAAATTAGCATGTGTGCTAAAACACTTAAGCAAATTAATATGGTTTGTCCAATGCAATTCTGATGTCCATGAAAAATAAAATGTAATAAATACATTACTGTAAATGGACATGTGAAATGCTGTTTCAGAAACAATTTTCTTAATTATTTGGCAACTCCCTATAGCCAAAAAATGATTCTCACAATTAAGCTTTATAGCTTTTGTATTTCTGAAAAATTGCAGATTTACATTAACTGGAGAAGGTACCTTTTTTTAAACCTGAAGGGCAGCATTTGCATTACAAACACATGAATCACACCAAACAAACACCACATTCACTGATTCAAAAACTCCTAATGGGATGGATGAGCCTGGTGGCTTTTCTACACAGTTTGTCAATGCATGGTTTAATTTTAGTGATACTTTCCTTTCCTTTCCTTTAGACGGCACAAAATAGTCCTAACAGACATCCGAAACTCTGATAGAAGGCGGCATGGGACCTTTGTTTTCATTTCTCCATTATTTGTTAAGTCAGGCAGTCGCTCTTGGGCTGCTAGTTCCAGATAATGCCAGTCTCTGCTGCAATTGGGTTTTTAACAAAGTCCAGGTGGGTGTTGTTCAAATCAGTTCAATGTTCAATTTATTTATAAAGCACTTTAAAGGGGTCATATGATGCTATTTTAAAGATCATTATTTTGTGTATTTGGTGTAACAGAATATGTTGACATGCTCTGTCTGGTGCAGTGTTGCCAGGTTTTCGCTACAAAACCCGCCCAATTACTACTTAAAACTAGCCTGAAAATAGCCCAATGCTTTCGAGGGGGTCCCCCAGTAAAAATCGCGTTCGGGGAGTAAAATACAAACTCAAACGTAAGCTAGTAGGCTACAGTGCTCAAATTTTCCCAGCATAAGTTGCCACAGTGACTAAACTTGATCTAGGCCCATGTTAAATTTGCTTTATGGAACCAAATCATTTGACAATAGACTAACTGAAATAAGCCTGGCTTATTTGGTGAACTTGTTTTATGAAACAGGCCTCGAGGCATTAAAAGTGATCATATTTTCTCCATTGCATCATATTGCATCGAATCGCATTGTGTTGAATCAAATCGAAATCGGAATGCACTGCATCGTAACAGGGGTGAATCGTATCGCATCAAAAAAAGAGTCCCATCCGAATAAGCCTATTGTCACTACTTAAGTATATGTTCAGCTAATTGTCAGACTCTTACGTGTCAGCATCTCGTAAACAATTAGCGGATATGTGTATACACCAGAGCCGATCTTCCCTATACGCAAAGAACGTATGTTGCGTAGGCCCCCCCACCCTGCTCTCAACGATTATTTAATTTTAGTTTCGTTTTTTATTTTCGCCTTTTCTATGTAACGTCCAAATCAGTCAAATCATGTAACTTGACTGTCATATACATCCTGCCGTTCTTACTCGATTAGTTAAATTCGCACTGTTTCCCAAGCACTTTCCGTGTGCGCAATTCGAGACAAATATAGGCTACTTTGCGTATGTCGAAATGTCCGTCTTGGTGAGTTCCCTTTCATATCTGTGCATTCCGTGACAGCATCCTACTGTATAAACCTGCTGCTGTCTGTCATCATCTGTTCATCAAACAACAAAAGAAAATGAGAGAATTATTCACTGCTCTTCACTGAATATTGTATAACTTTGTTATTAATCAATTTATGTTTAATTTATATTACATTTGATTACTTTGATGAATTTCTGTATAATAGGCTAAATTGTTTGAACGCACAGACAGCACCCCCACCCCCATCCTATTATTGACGGACCATTATTCTACACTGTTACCATGTCATTGCACAACAGCAATGGAAAGGATAAGTCTGATCTGAATATACGAAAAAAATGAACAAAAAATAATTCAGTTTCCATGAATTTTGTTTCTGGTCGGTGGTCTTGTTTGCTTTCCTAATTACTTGTGTTAGTAGTTTTTGTTTTGTTTTGTTTTGTATTGTTTTGTTTTATTGCCAAATCAATAAACAACATCATATGTTAAAATGCTCTAAATCTTTTATCTGTAAACTATGATTAAAGTCCTCCTCTCAGTATTAGAATATCTTAGTTTCCTGAGTGGACTCAGACATTTTCAGTGTTTTTGTCTTTTTACCTGGAATTTCAGATATGTTGTGTGTGGGTCTTATGATGACAGACGGTGATTCTTCACATAGTTTTACTATTATGTCTAAAGTCCCTTCGAAAAACTGGTTTTATTAGTTCTTCCCACACGCTCTGTTGCCAGCTATGGCTATGAGTATAACTAAAATTTCTTATCAAACATGTGAAGTTTGGGGAAGATTGGACATTGTATGCTTGAGTTACAACAACTTCCTGTTTCATGGCATTTATAGTACACATTAACACTTAGCTAAGTGTTGCTAGCATGTTTCAACATGTCCTGTAGCATGTTTAGTGCACACTGTCATATTTTAATACGTTGCTAGGAGTGCATCAAAGTGTTAACCATGTTGCTTCTTGTTGCCAGCAGGTGGAGCTATGACTATATAACTGAATATTGGCATGTAGATGTGTTCAGGCCAGGACTCTTATCAACCATGTTAAATTTGGAGCAGATTGGATATTGCATGCCTGAGTTACAGAAACTTCGTGTGTTTCATTGCATTAGTAGCATGCTTTAGCTAAGTGTTGCTAACATGTTTTAGCATGTTTCTTGCATGTTGCTAGACTATTTAACATGTGCTGACACTGGCAATATGTTGCTTGGTGTCCATAACAGTGGTAAACATGTCGCTTCCTGTTGCCAGCAGGTGGCGCTATGACTATAACTGAATATGGGCATGTGTTCAGGACAGAACACCTATCAAACGTGTGCACGTGTGTTACAGCAACTTCCTGTTTCATGGCGAAACATCGAAATTTGTCAGGCTGCCAGGGACACACGCCCCTCAGCAAATTTGAAGATGATCTGATTAAAACTGTAGGAGGAGTTAGTTAAAGTACAAGGCCTGAAACTGCACAAAAAATGCAGAGGAAATTAAAAATGGCTGACTTCCTGTTGCGTTTATGGCTTAAGTCCAGGAGACTTTTTTGTAGGTATTGGGATATTTCGTACACATACGTGAAATGTAGCAGGAGGGGTGTTTTGATGATGCCCTGTTTGTAAATTAATTACTTTTTTGAGTTGACTTGTGTCTAAAACTTGATCAAACAATTTACCAAAACAGTCTGAATTGGCTTATGAATCAGTTTTAACTATTTGTTCACTTACCTGAATGCACTGAATCATCTAAAGTGGTTTCTAATTGGGAGTCCTAACATGAACTTGCAGTCATGTTATATCTGTGCAGACAGCCATATTGCACGGCTACGAGTGTGATACTGCGTTTATACAACAGTTCGGCGGCACGAGTGTGTAAATACATAAGAAACAACAGCGGAGTGTCTTTAAAAACTTCGTGCAGAACTACTTCCTTCCGCCACGGATTCAAATCTCAGTTTGACAGTTTAACAGCTGAGCTCAAGATCCATTACTAATTCAGAAACGTCACTTTACAACTTTAGTAACGAAGGAACGTTGAGTTGCTTCATTGAAAGTTTATTGTATTACTGTAGTAAAAGCTCACTGTATTATGAAGAGTATGATGAAAGAGAGATGGACTGAGTGAGTGTGATTACCTGCATCTGATACAGCATTCATTCTCCAGCTCAATCTCATATTCACAATAAAACATTAGTTTGAATGTCCGCTGAGGAAAGTGATATCTTTGTCAAAGTATCCTTTTAACTGCTAAAGGGATTTCTCATGACAACACTGGTCAAAGCATTCATACCTTTTAGTATAAAGATCTTTGCTACAACTAATTCATAAAAACAGTCTCTTGTCACCATCTAAGACACCCTGTTCTATTTAATAATCTAAACACATTTTTTGAGCACGTTAAGAGTGAAACTACTTCAGATCTTTTTGTCCTGCAGCTTTGAATCGGTGAAGGACGATGGCGACTGTTAAAGAGCGGCTCATAAACTTACTGAAGGACCTGTCCAGAGATGATCTGAAGGAGTTTCAGTGGCACTTAGAAAACGATCATGTGTGTATATCAAAGTATGAAATGGAGAATGCAGATATGTTTAAAACAGTGGATAAGATGGTGGACTGTTTTGGACCAGAAAAAGCTGTAAAGACCATGGTCGGCATCCTGAGGAAGATGAACCACAATCATCTGGCTAAGCAGCTGGTTATGCCAGGTATCATTTTATTCACATTGACTGTAAATTGAGTAACTGTTTAAAAGTGTGATGGTTTAACAAACTTTACTCTTTGGAAATGAGGAAAGATTTTTCCCCCCAGTGAATTTGTTTTTATGCAAAGGTTAATTTCAATAACGCTAACCTAACCATAATACAGTCTCATGTGTTGTTTGGTGTGCTCTATGTCAATAGTTTGATCGAAAAGCTTTTAATAATTTTGGTCAGCGCGGCCTGAAGTTGATCCAGCAGTGACAACCCAATAAATGCTTGGGAAGCATTTGAGTTGAAAGTTGAAAACCTCTTACATTTGAGTCAATATTAGTCAAGGCATTTCCATCACTATACATGTTGTCAGCTTCAGCATAATCAGTATAAGATGTGCATGTATGTACTGCACTGTTGCAGTATGAGTGTTATTGGTTGGAATATTGTAGAAACAGTTTTGTAATGATTTATGGGATTTAATATAAAAAAAAATAATATTACTATTTTAATTTTATTTATTTGAAAAGGGACAGTGTACAAATTTTAACATAAATGTTTCCATTTAATGAATTGTACCATATTTAGCCAAAGGCTAATTTTCATCTGCAGCAGGTTATCACAAAAAAAAAAAAAAACAACATAACACAAAACAAATACTACAGAATACATACACTACATGTACACACACAACATACTATAAGGGCCAACAGAAACAATAATTTATAATTTATATTATAGAAACAATTACGCCACAACTATGTCAGTGCTAACAGAGTTAAGTATTTGTTTAAAAAGTTTTTAGTTTTGTTTTTAAAAGACCAATACATGTGCACCACTTAATGTCATCTGGCAAAGCATTCCAGTAGGTAGTAGCTTTCAAAGAAAGTCTAAAGAACGATGACCAAAAGGTACAACACAATCTCTTACAGATGATAGTCTAGTAGATTTTTACAGAGTGTTTAGAACAAAAATAATAGTACAGGAGCAGCCAAACCATGTAAGATTATATAAGACACAAATTTGATAAAAGTTTAAAATTATCAAATTTCAGAAAGTTATGTTTCTCCAAGATCCTACAATGATGTTGGATTGTTTTTATCCAGTATTTTTGAAGTTTGATCATACAAAGATTTTTAAAGGCTTAATTACAGTTTGACCAGCTGACTCCAACATGTAAGAGAGTACGACAAATGAGAAAACATTGCAGCATGCATGAAGGTATTAGCTACATCCATAGAGAGGCAAAAGTTTATATTTGACCAAAGGTTAGATCTTCACCCTTTTCTTAACATGCTTCTTACAATGCAAATTCAAATCTGTTGTGGAAGATCATTTATATACAAACTAAATACTAGGGAACCTAACACTGATCCTTGAGGCACACCCATTAATTTACCATACTGTTCCTTTTTAATTTTGACACATTGCTCTCTATTTGATAATAAAGATATCCATGCCAATGCCCCCAATCAAAACTGAAACTTAAAAAGTTTAGAAATAAAGTTTACGTGAACATGAATTTAACAACTTAAATATTCATCTGTACCTCACATTAAACTATGGAACGGCTTCCGAACACTTTGAATATAGTGGTCAGAAACTTAATGTTGCTTCTTTATAATGTTTTGTGCCTTTCGTGGGGCTTAATAACACAGAATAGTATACGCACAATATCGGTGCGTAGTCATGGTCAGATACCTTCATCCACAACTTCAGTCGGAACAAAATTGAGTTCCCTTCTTATTAACAGAATCAATAAAGATACTATTGAAGCAATATAATTATTTTGGTAAATTATTGGTAAAATATGGTAAAACATTTTATGCTTATGCTTTTATGCTTAACTCTTAAGCTAAATTTCTCTCTTATGGAGTTAATTCTATTCATAAAAGTATTACACCGTATGCCATACTCCAAGTCATCAGAAGATAATGTCGTTCCACTTCAAACTAGTTATTTCCTTATCAAATGCTACTAACTTTCCTTAAGGTATACAATGGAAAACATAAGTTGAAGTATCTGAGGCATTTCTGAATCTGTTTTTGTAAATTTTCTTGCAACCAAAGTTAAATTATGATCAGATAATCCAGTGATCAAATGATAACTTTTGATCATCCTTTCAGGTTTGTTAGTGAAAATTAAATCTAGCAGTGTCTTTGACGAGTTAGCAATCCTTGTTGGACCTTTTATAAGCTGGTTTAAGCTTTTTTTCCCTCTTTAATTTATTTTCCCCATTCAAATTGCCTATTAGAACCATTTCTTTATTACATTCTTTTAAAATTCCTGTAAGTGTAAATTCTCTTGCAGAAGGAGGTCTATATACTCCTTGTCAGGGTAAATGACGAGAGGTTCAATTGCAAATGCAGAAAATGTCGTTTATTGACAGTCAGAAGAAACAGAAACAGTCAGGTGGGAATCGTGGATGCAGAGATGGTGAATTCCTTGGTAGTGCAGAGCTGCAAGGAGTAGCTGGTGGTCCTAATGAATCCAGAATGGTGAAAACAATAGTCCTGTTGGGGACTGCCCCACTAATGCCGGTTCTTTAATGGTGTTAACCACTTCAGTACTCGGATCAGGGAGTCAGAGTCATCAAATGTCTTTCCACTATTTATTTTTGTGCAGGGTTTCACCATATACACACACTTATATGCATTGGAGGTAGTTTCTCCAATGAACAATAACAGAAGTAAATAACTAAATGTCTAACAAATATTTGCATACTGTTACAATAAGACAGCACATTTCAAATTAAACAATATCAACAAGTCTCTTAATGTGTAATTAGTGAACTATGTAAAGGAGCATATACACAACTTAAGATACATTATACAACATCCTCATTACGATATGAAAGTATAAAAAAAAAAGTAGAATATATTGTACGTTATCCGAAACATATTTAAACGAGATATTAAAAACATGAGCAAGATAAGCAGCAATGTTACCGGCACTTCAACGTGCGTTTTACGCGATGAATTAATTATCATAAAGATCGCGCACCACCAACAATCACAGGCTTAATGTACAAACAGATTCAGCAGTATAAACATCTAGTATTACAAAGTCATGGAATAAACTTTTGCCCTGCACGTCACATTCTGTCAGCTCTGCATGCGTAATCAATAACATGTCACTTACGCCAAACACGTATCACACTACAAGTTGCGTAGTGCATATTTACATAATACAAGCTCTTACCAGATATAAAATAAAAGTATTAATAATAGTATAAACAGTATTAAAAGATATATAATATAAAGAATTCACAACAAGTCCAACAATCCGAGATAATCCACAACAGAAAATGAAGAGTCCAGCGCTGGAAATGGAACCAGGAAACTGATAGTGATGGGACGATTGATACCGAGGCGCCGACGCAGTTTTCAAAGCACTATTGTATCACACACTGTGCCGATGCTTGTATCGAAATGACAACACCACGTGATTGATGACGTTTGAAGCTTCGAACGTCATGCAGTATCGGAAGGTCCCAACCTTCCGATACAGCTGGTTTGAAAAAATCGGCGCTTCACATGACTCTTGTGTTTGACTTTACATTGACTTGGTTGTGTGTGTGTGATTCGTCTCTGGTGAAACTGATTGCAGGGATATAACTAAAGACAGGACAAACTAACAAAAACATAAAAACAACTGCGGCGCATGCCACGGAGGCAGCCATCAGCGTCGGCGCCATCTTTTCATCACGTCAATTATTAATTATAATCACACACTTGTATATTTTGTATTATTGATCAATATGTGAATCCATTGACCGGA